GTTCCGCACCCATGACGGCTTATATGAGTTCATCATCATGCCGTTCGGGTTATGTAATGCGCGCAAGAACCTTCCAGCGCCGATGAATGATGTCCCGCGCCCATTTCTCCGCCGATTCGTCCGGTGTTTTTGACGATATTTTGCTTCGTCTGGGTCGACCACCTCCGCCACCTCCGCGTTGCGGTGCTCACCGTCTTTGCAGCAGCACTACACCGTCAGCGTTCGAAATGCGATTTGGGCGTCCTCCATCTCCTACCTCGCCACGTGATCTCCGACACGGCGCCGCCATGGACCCGCCAAGGTGCAAAGTGCAGCGTGGCCGAGTGGGTTCCCCACCACGTTCCGTCTGCCGCCGTCGCGCGTTTTGGGCCTCGCGGATACTACCGCAAGTTTGTGCAGACTATGGGACCCTCGCCGCGCGCCACGTCACTGTTGAAGAAGGAGGGCTTCACGTGGACCGCGGACGCGACGGCGGCGTTCACGGCCCTCAAGACCGCCGTCACCTCGGCCCCGGTCTTGGCGGCGCGGATTTCTCCCAGCGTTCATCGTCGAGCGACGCCTCCACATTATGGGTTCGGTGCGGTGCTCCTCCAGACAAGCATCCCATCGCCTTCTTCCGGGCCGGTCGGCGCCCGTCACCGAAGCGTTGGCGCTTTCTTAACGGAGCCGATCGGCCTCGTCCACGCTGATGCGCCATCGGCGGCCGTACCTCTGGGGTCGCCGCTTCACCGTCCGGACGGACCACTACGACCTTCAAGTACCTCCTCGACCGGCGACTTGCCACGATCCGCGGCATCATTGGGTGGCAAACTTTCGAGTTCGACTTGTGGTGGAGTATAAGCCGGGCGCCCAGAACGTTGTTGGCGACGCCTTGTCCGGCTGACACGCCTGACGGCAAGATCTTGTCGGGCCATCTCCGCGCCCATGGTTCGACTACATCGACAGATTTCAGCAGAGCAGCGGTCGTTTCACCCGGCTCTGGTGGCTATCCGCGACGAACTAGCTTGCGGCGACGGCAAGGTGGCAGTGGGCGCTCAGGGCGGCATGATCACGTTCGACGGGCTCTCTACATACCTCCGGCCTCCCGCTGGCTGGGCGAGATCCTTGCCGCGGTACACGACGACGGCCACGAGGGCGCGGTAACAGACGCTTCCACCGCTCAAGGCCATGACTTCCACTTCTCGACATGCTGCCGGCTGCGCCCAGACTTCGTGCGGGCATACGCGCCACCGCCAGCGTTCAAGACGGAGCACCTCAAATGGCCGGTCTGCTGATGTCTCGCCTCGCTGCGTGCCGACCGGCGTACGGGCGGACATCGGCCTCGACTTCATTGAAGCTCTACCAAAGGTGCGCGGCAAGTCGGTCATCTTGACCGTGGTGGATCGCTTCGGCAAATATTGCCACTTCATCCCGCTGGCACATCCGTATTCGCCGAATCGCTGGCTCAGCGTTCTTCTCCGACATCGTCACCGCATGGCATACCACAGTCCATGGTCTCCGACCGGGACCCCGTGTTCACCTCCACCTTCTGGCGCGAACTCATGAGGTTGCTGGGTCCCAAGCTGCACATGACGACGGCGTTCCACCCACATCAAAATGGTCGGCCGGAGGCGCCAAAGCGTCATCGCCATGTACTGCTGTTACGCTTCACCGGGTGACGACGCGCTCCGCTCACCAGTACTGCGTATGAGTACACCTACAACACTGCAGCAGACAGTCGTCATTGCGCGATACACCCTTCAAGGTGGTCTCACGGTCGCGACTTCGCAAGATCCGTCAGATGAGCTGGCGACACCAGGTGGCGCAGTGGCTCGATCCATGGAGGAACGCGCGGAGTTCTTGGATGACGTCCCCGCACCGTTCGAGCAGCCCAAGCAACCTGTGGAAGCGATACTACGACCATCGCTCGCGCTGCCGTCTCCTTCGCCGTCGGCGACTGGGTACTCCTCCGCCTACGTCACCGCCCGGTCGCGTCGCTCTCCAACGCACCGCGCGGCAAGCTACAGCCCAGGTTCTTTGGCCCCTACAAAGTTACAGAGCCGATCAATGAGGTCATGATGCGTCTGGAGCTACCGCCAACGCCAAGCTCCACGACGTCTTTCATGTAGGATTATCAAGAAATGGGTTTGATGCATGACGCGCCCGACGCCCCCCGCCTCGCCAAACCGTTCATCATGGCGCATGTTCTCGCTCGGCCAGAGCTGCGTGCAGGCACAGCTCGCCTTGGCGTTCCACACAGTCCTTATCCGGCCGGAAAGCGAACCGCCGCATCAAGCAACATGGGAAGATGTGGCGACCTTCACCGCCAAGTACCTGCGTTCGGCTTGAGGACAAGCCGTCGTCGAGAGGAGAGATGTCATGTGGGGCATCGCACACGAGAGGAGGAGGCGCGCCCATGACGTCTGACGACGGCGGCTTGGCCATGGCCATGGTGGAGTCTCTCACGATGCAGAGAAGCCACAACCGAAGCGGTGGCTAGGCTAGTCAATCCCTTAAGTTTAGGATCAAGTTATCTCCCTCATATTTAGGAGATTGGTTTCTATTTTCGTTAAGCCATAGGCTATTTATGCATTGTAATCGGGACTTGAGAAGGCAAGCAAGATTATTATCCTTAACCTCTATCTCTTCTCAAGCCGATTACGGTGTGGGGCATAACCAATGAGGGCAGAGCGAGGGTACGAGCTCCGTAGTCATGATCTGCTACTCTAGGAGCCGACGCCTTGACAATATATGCACCTTCTATGCCAAAACAATGAGTAGGTCTATGCACCCACAAGGCAAAAGCAACCCCCCCCTCAATTTATTCTAGCTTCTAAGACTTTGCCTTCATCGAAAAGGAGGATTTCTGGTACTGTTTCAATAATTACTTCCACTGATTCAAAATTGTTTCTCAACAATACGTGCACAGGTGACAGAGTTAGGATGGTAAGGCGAGACGTGCCCCCCCCCCCCCGAATCACCTAGGAATGGTGCTAATGCTACTAGTGCCACAACAGAAAGGAAAGAGCAAAATGAATGGAATGGTGGTAATGCAAAAAGATATAAGAAGGCTCAATAATTTTTCATGTTGTTAGCTGGTATAGTCCTCCCAAAATGCATTAGTGAAGGATCCTCCACTGGGAACCGTGCTGTCCATTTAACGAGATCACAGCCTACAATGAGTAGCCATGTTGAAACTTTGATTGATATATCTCAGATGATAGACAATATTGCAATCACAAGGATCAAGGTTAACACAACTGAAAAAATAATAAACATGTAGTGGCAAATAAAGCATCAGAATGGATAGGGATACTACTTTCTTGGCATGAAATTCTTCTTGGTCAAGGAACCTGGAACCCTCGAGCATCTCAGAACCTTGCAAACTCATTTTCTCACTACTTAACTAAGTCTACAACAAATAATTTTATAGACATTTCAGCTTCATTTTGACTAAGGAGTATTTCTTGAACATGGGTTAGGCTTGTATCACAGAGACTGGTCACGTTGTTAGGAGACCACAAACCAGAAATGCTGTAAACACTACTTGATTAAAGCAGTATTTTGAGCCGAACTGAACTTTTTTAGGTAACAGTTAAAGCAACAATGAGTCATCTGTGCAAGCTCAAGAAACAAAGCACCAGCACTTCCAGCAGAACCAAAGGAGGTACCATCACAAACCAAAATTCAGGTGCAGAAAAGGCAATAGCGTGATTGCCAGCCTAAAACAATCACCCTGAAGAAGAAAACAATCACAATGAAGGAAGACTGCTTCTGGAGGACAAGCTGGATGACAATACACAGGAATGAAGAAGAAAGGGCAAGAGGCTTTTCAAGATTCTGAGACTGTCTTTGTCATTTGCTGTTTGTTCGTTTCTGTACCGTCTGTTAACTCTCTGTTGAGTCTGGGAGGTTGGTTTGACGTTAGTGATAGCATCTTTTGGTTAGTATCACCTGCCAAGGTCGAAAACTTAAGAGTAGATGGTGGTTGTGAGTCTGCTAGGTCTGGCCTGTCTTTTTTCTGTTACCTCTGAAACAGTCTACGAAAACTCTGTATTTCCGTTATGCCTAATGGAAATGGGGGATACCTCCGGTTTGAAAGAAAAAAAACAATCACCGTGAATGAAGAAATCACAACAGAAACAATGTGCCACCAGACCATATCCGCATCCATCCTTACGCAACAGATCACTAAACCCACATGCTAAACGGGATACTGTATGCTGTTCAAATAACCAACCTGACTTCCCCGCTCCCTAAGGGACCCTAGGGTTTCCCCGAATCAATAACAAAATCTGGAAAAAGAATGGATAAATCTGAGGACGAACAAGGGATCCACCTCATGCTCGCAAGATTGGCACGCGTAGAGGAGGGTGCGCGTCTCCTTGTCCTCCCGCGGGTACAGCATGTTGTTGCTGCGGCGAAAACAGAGCAGAGAATGAAAATATGAACCCGATCCCTATACCGAAGAGCAGACACTGGACACGAATGCCAAAAATTTCGTCGCTTTTACCATTCGCGGCAGAACTTGAGAGTGCTCATGGTGGCCTCGTCGCGCCCCGACCCTCTCGCCTTCCGCTGCTTGACTGCTGCTTGCCCCCTTTCTCGGCTACTCCCTTGTGCTCCTTTTCACTCAGCGGCTCCTGGCAGGTGGGCCACGTTGACCCCACGTGCCAGTGAGCATAGAACAACGAGTCTGGCCCATCTGAGGCCGGACGAGTACACGCGTCGGACGTTGGACGCTGCCGCACGAGGGCCACCTACCCCGTTGCCGCACCGGATCCCGCTGACCCCTCCGCTCCTACTCCCCTGCGTCTGCTCGTCGTCTCCCCGCTCCAAACCCTAACTCCAATCCGGAACGGCCGAAAAAATTCGCGAAAATCGCTCACAATTTCGCTACAGACTACCTCCCGGTACCTCCTCCAGTCCGAATCCAACTCGTTCGCTATTTTTTTCGATTTTTTTATATTTTTGGAGGATTTTCTTTTATGCGGATTTGGCCATGGTAGGGCGGTGATGCAATGATGCACATGCTAGTGGCCCCGGATGGGGGCGGAGGGGAGCTGCAGCCGTACGGCGCGCCGCCGGCGGAGCAGGAGCTGGAGCTCCTACGCGATAACGCCGATGACGGCCTCGAGGGCCACGTGCGGTACGTGGCCGCGCCCAAGAGCTGCCTCTTTTTGCTGTGCTTGTTACAAATCACTGGTGTTTAGTCGCCGTCGATGGCGCTGGGCGAAGGAATGGTCTCGCCTCTGCGCGTTCCTTGCTTGCTTGCTTGCTGAGGAGCAGTGACAGTCCGCTCCACTTTGGACTTAATATTTTTATTATGCTCCTCCTATTTCACAAATGGTTGCGTTAAATCCCGGTGTTTGATTCTGTCATTCCTTTACTGTGATTCCATCAGGTGCTTGCGGTGTGGAATATCCGGCAATGCGACGCCCCATATGCGGCGTGGGCCTGATGGCCCAAGAACTCTTTGCAATGCGTGTGGCATTGCTTACAGGAAGGTAAAGCCATGCTCTTTTGTTCTGAAGCAGTCATGAGAGTTGTTTTTTATATTGCTTGCTCGGCCACACTTGTTTTGCAATTGAATGTTGTGGGGCTCTCTTTATCAACTCTTGGAGATGTTATAGCTTCACATAGAGTTAACTTTATGATTCACAAGCACTATCTTTTCATTACTACTGTTGGTGCCTTAATTTGCACTAAGTGTCATGCACTGTAAGGACAATTTTATCCCTTATCAGCTGGAGGTTATGTATTGTCGTTTTTCTTGCGATCACAGGTTGCAACCTACAAGCAACCATAGCACTTCTAATGCAAAATGGCAGGTCATACATTTTTGGCTGCAGCGGTACAACTTCTTTCCAAAAGGAACTATTGACCCATTATCTTTGACAATCATGAAATACGTGTCAAATGTTCTGACTGTTCGCCTCCTTGATCTGCATAGTGCAGTGTTTTAGTCACTCTATAACCCCCACCGAAAACAGGGAAATTTTTTTTTTTTTTTTTTGCTGTGTTTGAGTAACTTTGATCTAGCAACCAAAAGAGACATCATACTTATATGTTTCTTCCATTATGGCTAAGATTGCTGTTCTGATGGTCATTTTCCTCCCATTTTGGAATGTTGAGTAAAATCTGCAATGAAATATGCCTCATTGTGCCCTTACCTACTGCTAAAACATTTTATGATTCGTTTCCAGGGGAAAATGAGAAGAATGATAGAAGCTGAACCACCCATAGATGAGGCTTCACTTGTGAAGCTAGTTCCAGAGGTAGGCATGGAATTTGTGAGTGAGGAAAAGGCATACGAATTCTACAACAAATATGCTGGGCATGTTGGCTTTAGCGTTAGGAAAAGTACATCACACAAATCTTCGGAAAATATTACCAAAGTAAGAACTTTTGTGTGCTCAAGAGAAGGCTACAACAGGGATAAAAAATCACTGGAAGCAAAGAAGCCAAGATTGGATACACGAATCGGTTGCCCGGCGAGATTGATTATAAAAGTCACACCAGAGTGCAAGTATAGAGTAACTGATTTTAAAGCAGACCACAATCATCAGCTAGCCCCTCCTTCAACAATGCATATGTTAAGGTCGCAGAGGATATTGACAGAACTTCAGTCTGGAGAAGCAGAACTATCAGATGATTCTGTAGTGACACCAACAACAAAAGCAACCGGTGATCTTGTTGTGAGACAAGTCAGTTTCCTTCGGAGTATCTCTCTCCTCCCAGCTGATTACAAGAATTATCTCCGTTCGAAGCGTATGAAGGCCATGCAACCTGGTGATGGTGGAGCAATATTGAAGTATTTACAGACAATGCAAATGGACAACCCCTCGTTCTTTTACACTATGCAAATTGATGAGGATGACAAACTGACTAACTTCTTTTGGGCAGACCAAAAATCTAGAGATGACTTCAACTATTTCAGTGATGTGCTCTGCTTAGACACAACATACAAAATAAATGGATATGGTAGACCACTTGCGTTATTCCTTGGTGTGAATCACCATAAACAAACAATTATTTTTGGTGCAGCTATGCTTTATGATGAATCATTTGAATCATACAAGTGGCTTTTTGAGAGTTTTAAGATCGCTATGCATGGAAAACAGCCTGCAGTAGCTTTGATAGATCAATCTATTCCATTGAGTAGTGCAATGGCAGCTGCTTGGCCAAGTACCACTCAACGAATTTGTGCTTGGCATGTGTATCAGAATTCTCTTAAGCACCTCAATCATGTTTTCCAAGGTTCGAAGACATTTGCAAAGGACTTTAGCAAATGTGTCTTTGGCTATGAGGATGAAGATGAATTCGTGTTTTCATGGAGAAGTATGCTGGAAAAGTATGATCTTAGACATAATGAATGGTTGTCTAAAGTGTTTGCTGAGAAGGAACAATGGGCCTTGGCATATGATAGACATATATTTTGTGCTGACATCATAAGTGCACTTCAAGCCGAGAGTTTCAGTAGTATTTTGAAGAAATTCTTGAGTCCTCAATTGGAGCTGCTGTCCTTCTTCAAGCACTATGAAAGAGCAGTGGATGAACATCGCTATGCTGAGCTGCAAGCTGACTTCCAAGCTAGTCAGAGCTATCCAAGAATACCCCCAGCCAAGATGCTAAAGCAAACTGCTCATACATATACCCCAGTGGTGTTTGAGATCTTTCGTAAAGAGTTTGAGCTATTCATGGACTCTGTGTTATTCAGTTGTGGGGAGGCTGGGACGGCATCTGAGTACAAGGTTGCTTCATCTGAGAAATCCAAGGAACACTTTGTTCGATTTGATTCAAGTGATTGCTCCTGTGTGTGCACTTGTAGGAAGTTTGAGTTTATGGGTATCCCATGCTTTCACGTGTTGAAGGTGCTAGATTACAGAAATATCAAAGAGCTACCTCAAAAATATATGTTGAAGCGATGGAGAAGGACTGCAAAATCTGCGGATGAAGACAATGAAGATAATGCAACAAATGCCAATGGGTCATCATTGAATGTCCCTGCTCCTCCTGCAAATCACCATGGGCTTCAGAGCTTCAGTGCAATGATTCAAGTAAGTAGCTTCCTATACTTGTCTGTACAAAGTGTTTTCCCCTGTATTTATTCTGGCTGATGTCTTCTTTTAATGCAGGATGCTTCTGTTTCTAATATGCATTAGAATTCATCTCATAGAAGCTCTTAATGCAGGTATTACAACTCGTTTCAGTAATTTCCTATCTTTTATGCTTGAGATGAATTTCCGTATGCCCTGTACCATTTTCAATTAATTGTATCTGGGTTAGTTCTCGATCCATCTGGTTTTATTGGTTCATCTTAGAACATGGAAGGAATCTGATGAGTCCAAAAGAAACATGTCATCCCAACAAACCTAAACTTTTCGTGCATGCCAACAAGAAATCATCTTTTTTTTCTCGAACACGCAGATACAAGCTGAATCCACGGCAAGGGTTAGTAAGAAATCATCTTTGAGCTCCATCCATTTAGACTTTTGACATCTTTGCTTGAGGACTTGAGTGGCCTTTCTTCTGGATTTCCTAACTGTGTGGGCTTGTGGCTGTTGAATTTTCTGTGCGTTGTTGCCCTTATGAGAGACCTTGACGTTCTTCTAGAAAGACAGCCAAAACATTTTGATAAAACAGTTTCATGCGCTTTCGATTCTGTTGTCTAACTCATCAACTTGCTTGAATCGTGATGTAGGGTTAATGCCAACAATGTGTTTACCTTGCAAGACTCCACAACGTTGGCTATTGAAGCATTGGACCGGCCATCATCAAGCACCCATGTTTTTACCTTGTAAGACTCCGCATTGTTGGCCATGGAAGCATTGGTTAGGCCGCTGTCAACCGCCCCTGAATAAGTTGGGCAACCTGTACATTGTTCAGCCGTAGGAGATTTCAGTTACTGCCTTATTGAGGCACCGATCCTTAGCATAGACCGTAGAGTAGCTTTTTAACTTTAAAAGCGTAATGCTTGTATTGCGCTGCAAATAATTTAGAAATTTTGTGCATGCCTAATAAATGCTAGCCCATTTATTATTAGGAGCAAAAAAAAATGCAATTCAGGCACTTCTACAGACCGTTGTACTATGCTCGAGAAGAGGATGCGTCTGAAACCTGTGTGCAGACTACCTGAGCTTGTGGCAGAGCAAGTAGACCCCTCATGCATGATACCGGAGTTGAGTACAGTTTCAGTTAGATTCAGATCTGGGGGCTTCATTTCGCCTGCAGCTGAGCTGGATGGCTCGTGCATTGAAGCGTTGGGGGCAAGCCAGAGCAGCCTTGGCGCGACAGCGGACAGCGATGCTGTGGCCTGAGCCCTGAGGCCTGGTATGCTTGCTATATCTGGTTCGGAAGGTGATGTTCCTGTTTCATGGTTCATGACTGTATACCACATTTGCATTGCATTACAACCACTTGCAAATGTCATCCGTATCTCGCATCATTATCTCAGGTTCCATGGTGTCAGCAGCATGTGTCCCATGAAATAGCCAATCAAAGAGCTCTTGTTATTTCCCCCTTGTGTTGTGATTTACCTTGAGCTGGCGTGGGCAGCTACATACATACCCCTTCTGTGACTCTGACTGCGAGGCACCAACGCAACGGCCATGAACATCTTTGAGCATGCATGTGATCCATGGTACAGTCACATACTTCGGCAGGTCGCCAACTGGTGGCTGGGGCTGGCCAGCCAATGATGCAGCACCTCTGTAGTGTGGTTCAGTGATCTCCCTCCCAGGCTAATGAAGCATTAGGATGGTCCTCCCTGTCCCTGTCCTGCGACGGTGTCCGTGTCCGTGTCCGTCGATGGTGAGCGAGCGACCGTTAGCACTGTTCCATTGGCGTGGCGCTGGCTCAACACAGGCTCCCCGCGCGGCCCCGTCTGAGCATCATCAGAGGCTCAGAGAGAGCATGCGGCCAGCGACCGGGACGTCGCAGCCGCCGACTGGACTGATGGGCGAGCGATGTGGCAGGGTGACGAGCGAGTGACCCGGCGGTGCAGGCACTGGCTTGTGCTTGTCCTCGGTTGGAGCACAGCAGCGTGCTGCTGGGCGCCAAGAACTCACCAATCAGGAACAAAAGATGGTTGGGTAGGCTCGTGGTCCATGCCTGATGATGCTTACTCGGATTCGTGCTTCCCAGGGTGATGGCTTGCGTCCTGCCTAATTCTCTTTTTGATTTGATTTGAAGATGATGGATGGATGCTAAAGAGGAGACAGTGACAAGTGCGTGCATGCCCTCTTGCCCCGTCGCCGAATCCCTCGTCTCAGTCCAGTCCTACCCTACCCTATCCCTCGCCGCGTGTAATCAGGCCGCCCTTTGGAAGATCGATGAGCACACGATGGGGCGACGCTTAGCGCCTGATCGATCGCCGCAGATTAGGCGGGAGCCGAGAGGGTGGCTGCTGACGCCCGGACATGTTTAGACGGCCTCGGTGAGTCGGTGGCCAACCTTTGAAAAGGTGCCAAAAACGTACGTAGCAGGCTGTTTGGTAGTAGAGCTCGTCCTGTTTTGGTCTTTTTTATTCCGCGTCGGAGTGGGACGTAATTGTTCGGGAGAAGTGGTTGATTTTTCCGCTCTAGAACCGATGGAGTATGGACCGCGGGCGCACTCCCCTCGTGCAGTGTTGCAAGGCACCGACAACGCCGCGCCTGCACCGGCCAGAGCACCGGAGGCCAGAGCTCAGCGCCTCGGCTCACAGGTCACAGCACAGAGATTGCCCTGCGCCCACGCCACGCGCCGGACAGGGCGCATGTGACGCCAACCTGCGCGGCCGCCCCGCCCTCGATCGGCTTTTCACCGCCCGACCGCCGCTAGGCGCTAGGCGCTAGCTGCCTGGAGTCGAGCGGGCACGGGCCGTTGTTTTGGTTGGACCCGTCCACATGCTTGTGGCCTGTGGGCTTCCTAGCTCGGCGTCACCACTCAGCAGCAGCTTTTCTTCTGCAGGCTGCAGCTGTCTTTGCGGCGGCCGGCGTGCGTACGTGTACGTGCCTCCTCGGAAGCTAGCCTCCGCCGTGCCCGTCCAAAGCTCTATAATTTCCTCCCCCCGCTCTGTTTGGCCTTTCTTCTGTAGAAATAAAAAGCTGTTACGAATGACCACACTCTGTGCATTATTAGCAGTACTCCTATCCTAGTCCTAGTAGGAAGAATTCACTATTGTTAAGCTCACTTTGGCCTCGTTCACTTTGAAAAAAAAAGTGAACCCGATGAATAGTACCACTTTCGTCTTATTTGACAAATATTGTCCAATCGTGAACCAACTAGGCTCAAAAGATTCATTTCATGATTTTCCAACTAAACTGTGTAATTAGTTATTTTTTTACCTACATTTAATACTCCATGCAAGCGGCTAAAAATTGATGTGATGGAGAGAGTGAAAAAACTTGGAATTTGGATGGCATCTAAACAAGGCGTTTGTACGAGTACTGTTATGGAGTAGAGCCGGAGCCGGCCCAGGGCCCACGCGGTAATGTAGCGACGTGGTACTGTAGCGTGTGATTAGATTAGATTAGATTAGATTGCTTTGTTTGTTAGGAAAGAGGGTTTTGTTTGTTAGGAAAGAAATACGTGGTTTGGTTTGTTAGATTGATTCGGTTAGGATATTTCCTTAGGGTCAAGTCAGTCATCTCTATAAAAAGATAACCCTGTATCAGTTATAGTCAAGCAAAAAGCAACAATTAAGTTGTTGGCTTCCCCGGGAGCCAGCCGTCTCTGCCCTCTCTCCCTCGCATGAACAGTACCCCGTGGGTACTGTAGCCCTCCCTCATCTCTCTCCCTCTCAATCCTAGCAGCCACATACCAATCTGGTATCAGAGATATCTGGTTCGATCATGTCCACCCGCTGCCACCAGCGTCTTTCGTCGGTGGCCGCCGCCACATCATCATCACGGGCGGCATTGGGCGTCTTTGGCGTCCTCGGGCGATCGCGCCCCGCCTCGCGCCGCCGTCAGATCCCACCGCCCTCGTCCTCACCCCGAAGCAGATGACGGCCGCAATCCTGGAATTACGGCAGGCCATGGCGGGCATCAGGCCTTCCTCGCTGCGACCACGGCGTCGGGCATCTCGTACCAGTATGGGGTGCCCTACGACGGGACTGCGACGACCTCGTTCCCAGCCATGCCATCACCGTCCCAGGGCGTTCCCATCCAGTAGATCAAGTTCCCGCCGTCGCCGTCACCGCTTCCGGCTTGGATCGCCGGTTCGTCGAAACCCATCTACACGGCGCCCAGTACCCAGCCGCACCTACCGCCGCTTTCGGCCCGGATCGTCTTGGCGCTGGCGGCGCTACAGCTCGGCGTCTTCTACGGGCGAGCAGCGTCGCCCTCGATGGGCAAGAAGACGGCGCGCGGCGCCCTCCGCCGCAGACAGCCTCGTTGAGTTCGCCACATCACCAATGAAAGCCCCGTTGCTATAACTCCTAGCGATCTCCTCACCGGCCGCTAACAACCCCGCCAAAGATTAGTGTCACCAATGCGGCGAGCGATCATCCATGCACCGACATTGGCGGACATGGTGCCTTTGTCGCCGCTGCCTCTACGAGCCACAAAGACCGATCCCTTGAGCGGGGCCGTGGGTTGTTTGCGCGCGCTTATTCTCCGCCGGCTCAGCAGCAGGCCTTCAAAACTCCATCGGTCGCTTGGAGTACGCCTCTAGCACAACCCCGCTCGGCTACACCCATAGCGGGGGTGGCTGCTCGTGGAGGGCACCATCGACTCCACGTGCAGGCGCTCCATGGATTCGATCCGGGCGAATTCGATTCCACGCAGATCAGACGGAGCAGCCAAGTTTGGCATCTCGAGGAGGAAGCAGGTCTGCCATGGCGATCTTGTCTGGACCGCAAGGTCTTCCGCTCTAGCAATCGCCACAGCTCGAGGACGAGCTGTCTTCGAGGGGTGAAGTAGTGTTATGGCTAAGTAGAGCCGGAGCCGGCCCAGGGGCCCACGTGGTACTGTAGCGATGTGGCACTGTAGCGCATGATTAGATTAGATTAGATTGTTTGGTTTGTTAGAAAAGAGATATATGGTTTGATTTGTTATGAAAGATATATGTTAGATTGATTCGATTAGGATATTTTTTTAAGAGTCAAGTCAATCATCGCTATAAAAGAGAACCATGTATCAGTTATAGTCAAACAAAAAACAACAATTAAGTTGCTGGCTTCCCTGGGAGCCCGCCGTCCCTGCCCTCCCTCCCTAGCGTGAACAGTACCCCGCGGGTACTGTAGCCCTCCTCAACTGTGTTCCTCTCAATCTTAGCAGCCACATAATAAGTACATTGGTACCGGTACAAATTAAAATGGTGCCAAAGCCACATTCCATCTAGGGGGAGAGAAAAGATTCATGCTGTTCCAGTCAGTCACATGCTGAAGCCTTTCCGTTCCTCTATCAACAAGGCACCAGAAGGTGCCTGCCCTGTCTCGCACCTTGAGGTTCAGCTTCACAACGAGTCATCAGCCACCACCACTGCACTGATTCGCCGATGAAGCAGGCTGCAGGCACCTTTAATCGTACGCGCATCCATTTCTGACGGGAATCACTTGGCACTGTCTCTGTACTGCAAACGTAGTGGGAAAAGACCAGGGTCAACAAAGAAAGAAAAGAAGGGCCGCCGTTGTCAACGTCCCGGTAGTTGCTCAGTCCTCGTCGCCGGCGATTGAAAACAAACGCCGGGTCTCGTCACCGGCTCCGGCTCACCTCCCCGCTGCCCCTTTTTCTGCCATCCTGCAGCTCCATTCAGAGAAAAAGGCTGGTACCTGACGCCATTTCATATTCAGTGGCTCCATGACCTGCCTAGGGTGTTTCGTTTTCCCTCCTAAATTTCACTTGCTGTCCCATTGGACGTTTAATACATGCATAGAGTATTAAATATAGACTAATTACGAAACTAATTGTATAGTTTACGACTAATTTATCTTTTAAGCCTAATTAGTCCATGATTTGATAATGTTTGCTACAGTAAACATATGTTAATGACGGATTAATTATGCTTAAAAATTCATCTCGTGAAGTACTGACGGATTATGTAATTTGTTTTTTTTATTAGTATCCGAACACCTCATGCAACATCCTCCCGACACACCTACTAAATTTTACTAGCCGGATCCAAACGCCCCCTTACTAATTGCGCTCTGCTTTTTCTTTGTGAGCAGACAAATATACGGCCTGTTTGTTTGGGCTGATTTGGCTTATACGCTGAAAGTACTATTAGCTGGTTTAGTGTAAGAGAAAAATATTATCCGTTGACTGATAAATCATAACTTATAAGTTAGATACAAGCAAATGAACAGGCTGATAAACGTCAAGATATATATAATCAGCTGCCGGGCCTGCAAATCTCGGCTCGTCTCTTTCGTCTTTCGCGCGAAGCAGCGGCCAAAGAGAT